ATACAAATGTGTGTAATAAGTCGTGTCTGACTCTTTGCAACCCTATGGACTATAGCCCACTGAGCTTCTATGTCCATGGGATTTTCCAGGCAAGAATACTGGACAGTATTGCCATTTCCTCCTCCAGGGGATCTTCCTGACCCAGGGATCAAACCTGCATCTCCTGTATTGGCAGGGGGATACTTTACCACTGAGCCACCTGGGAAGCCTCATAATATAATATGAATACCAAGTCTTATTTTTACTGAGGTAAATCAATAAGAAGCAACATAGAACAGTTACTTAGAACTTGGCCTCTATAGACAGATAGACCAGGGTTCAAATTCTGACTCATTCAACTGTTTCTTTAACTGTAAGCTGTTTTTTTAAATCTTATGATTTTAGATTATTTAACATTTCTAAGCCTTAGTTTCCTTGTCAGCTGAATGAAAATAATAACATGTGCTTTAGGGATGAATTAAATAAGATATTCCATAAAGGACACTTAATATTACTGTGATGATATTTGCCACTATTACTATTTGAAAATTAAGTTTAGAAAGCAAAACAGCATTTTAAAATAACCAATTTTCATTAAAGTGCCATGATAGAGTATAAAGCAGAATAAAGAGATGGAGTTTGGTGGGGAAAGAAGATATTTAATATGGAGAATCCAGAAAATCCTTTTTGAGGAGGTAGTAGGGGAACAGATACCCAGATACTAAGTGAAATAAATGACTAGTGAAATTGTCAGTCTTCATCAAGTATTAAATAATGTGGCTTGAGTTCTCCCTGGTGGTCCAGTGGTTAGAGGGGCTTCCCAGGTGGCTCCGTGGTAATGAATCCGCTTGCCAGTGCAGGAGACACAGGTTAATCTCTGGGTCAGGCAGATTTCCCTGGAGGGGGAAGTGGCAACCCAGTCCAGTATTCTTGCAAGGATAATCCCATGTCCTGAGGAGCCTTGTGGACTAAACAGTCCATGGGTTTGCAGAGCCAGACCCGACTGAACGCGCACGTATGCCAGTGGTTAGGACTCAGCATTTTCACTGCCATGGCCGAAGTTTGATCCCTGATAGGGGAACTAAGAGCCCTCTAGCTGCACAATTAGACCATAATAATAATAATGTGGCATATTTAGTAGACAGGCTCAATATGAACATGGGTCATCCTTTGTTGTTTTGAAGAAATGCTATTCTACTGATTTGCTAGTTTAGTTGATCTTTACCGTAAAGTTTAGAAAAGTACTTTGACAGAATAAAGCCCTTGTCATATACTTATACTAGAAATATCTTACTTGTTGTTCAGTTGCCAATTCCTTTCCTATTCTTTGTGACCCCATGGACTGCAGCAAGCCAGGTTTCCCTGTCCCTCACTGTCTCCTGGAGTTTGCCCAGGTTCATGTCCATTCAAATATCTTGCTACAGAAAGGAAAAAAGGTATTATCAGAAATAGATACAGGGTTTTCCCTGGTGGCTCAGTGGTGAGGAGTTCGCCTGCCAGTGCTGGAGAGACAGGTTTGATCCCTGTTTTGGGAAGATCACACATGCCACAGAGCAGTTAGGCCCGTTTGCCACACCTGTTGAGCGTGTGCTCTAGAGCCCGGGGTCCGAAAGTACTGAAGCCCACTCTCCGCCACAGCCCAAGCTCTGTAACAGAAGCCACCGCAGTGAGACCGTGCACCACAGCTGGGGAGTGGGCCCTGCTTGCTGTAACTAGGGGAAAGTGCAGCAGTGAACACCTAGGACAAGCAAAATAAACAAAATTATTTTTAAAAACCAAAGTTAAAGAAATAGCTTTAAAGTATTGTTTTTAATTATACACCAATGAAGAGAGAAAAAGGAGGGGGAGAAAGGAATGGGGAAAGAAAAAAACCTCTGCTTCTACCATTTTAGCCCAGTTCCATCCCATAGTAGCAGACCCCATATGACTTCTGCCAATACTCTTTTATTGGTTTTTTTTTTTTACTTTTTTGCCGGGCCTTTTGTTAATTTTTTCACCAAATTTTTTTTGTTTTTTTGTTTTCGGAATTTTTCTTCCTTGTTATTTTTGGTTCCTTTTGAATTTTTTGCCTTAGGGCATGGCATCTAGGAAGGGATGTTCGTGCTTCCAGGGATGATGATCCTCCTTTTGTTTGCCTGCCCTCTATCTCAGATTGAGTTTGGTTAGCACCATTTGGAATTGAATCGTAAAGCTGGTGTTTATGATGGGATCTGAAGATTGTCCAGAGTTATTTTTCCAGCTACATATCCTAAAATAAGTCACTTAACCTTGCTAGTACTGATTTCTCTGATAAGAAAATCACGTTGTTTAAATAGTTAGAACCTCAGAAGCACTCTCTAATATTGTTTGATCAGGATTCTGGGTAATCATTATGGGGTATGTGGGAAAGGGCTTATTGGTATTTTTTATTTTGAATGGAAGTAGACATATAGGAAATTCTTCAGTATAAATACCAAACTTCAGAGGATTAAGAAAAATTGACATTTTTAACCCAGGGGGAAAAAATCTCTCTGAGAACCTTGAAGTGGAATTGGCACTAATTTGGCCAGCCTGATCAGATCATTTTGATTGGGTTTAAAATTGTTTATGAATTTTAAAGAAATTTCAAACATTTTAAAGAAGGGTCTTTTTATTTTTTGTATGCACACACATATACATAGTCTTGGATAATCTGGAAAAAAGTGACTCCTGAGGAAAAAAGAAAAGGAATTTTAGTTCTGACTCAAGGATTTTTAATAAAGGACCATTCACTAAATAAATACTCTATGATTCTGAAGAATCTGGTAAACCTTCCTTCTCTAATAAATATAATTTAAAAAATCTCAGTAGCCTTTACAAATATATTTTTAAGTACTAATTTTTTTTAGTTAAACTGATAAGATTTACTGCTGTAAACCCTTTTGCATTTATTAACATATTTAGGTGTCGCAACAGCACTGTGATATAGAATACCATTGTTATTGTCACTTTCGTTATCATGCATGTGTGCATGCATACTCAGTTGTGTACAACTCCCTGAGACCCCACGGGCTGTAGCCCACAGGCTCCTCTGTCCATGGGATCTCCCAGGCAAGAATACTGCAGGTGGGTCGCCACTTGCTTCTCCAGGGGATCTTCTGGACCCAGGGGTTGAACCTGGGTCTCCTGCATTGCAGGCAGATCTTTACTGTCTGAGCCACTGGGGAAGTCCAGATCCTTAATTTTCCTAAGTAAACGCATTAATACAAGATCTGTTGCTAAGTCTGTGTTTTGTAAGCAGTTATTTTCTTAGCAATAAATGAGTGAGTTGCGGGGGGGGAAGATAAATGCCAGTGTAGAGTTGCTAGCAGCAATTTAATTAGGTTCCGTTATAAGTGATTCAAAATGAGAGCTGTATTTTCTGTAAATTTAAATTTGCTGTTAATCTCTTGGGAAAATTACCCATCTCTAGTTTTGCAGGTTTTTCTGTTAGTAGAGAAACCTTTGAAACATCATCGTTCATTGTGTTGTATATTGATCTTGTTAGACCCTTAATTTGTGCACAGAACAAATGAATGAAACAGTTTTGTTTCACAATGCTGACATGAGGGTAACACTCTTATTCATTCACCTTTAGCAATAATAGGGTTTACTGTATGCTAATAAGTACTGTACTGAAGACTTAACTTTCTCTACTTTTCAGGGCTATTGGGAGATGGGCCCCAGAAGAAGACTAATAGAAACTGGCTTTGATCTCTCACTTATAATTACTGTATCACTTCTATAATAAACTGTGTAGCATACTACTAGAATGTACTGTGTATGTGACAGCGATACAGTAAGTCCCCTACATACGAACCTTCAAGTAGCGAACTCTGAAAGATTCAAATATGCCCAGCTATCACACTGTACTAATGTACTTTTCAAGTTGCTTTACTGTAAGAGTAGAAATGTTTTCTTAATTTTTTGTTTTTTATGTTTTATTTGTATGAAATGTATTATAAACCTGTTACAGTACTACATAGCCAGTTGTGTTAGCTTGTTGCTTAGGCTAACTGTTGGATTTACAAATTGGGCTTACAGCCGTGCTCTCAGAATGCAGCTGGTTCATGTGTAGGGGACTTACTGTGGGGGTGAGTTACTTTTTCATTTGTGCTGTGATTATCCTTTCTTGGTAAACCAGTCAATGGTGTTCTCCAGAATCTGGAGTGCACTGGGGCCAAGTTTCACGCAATGTGTTTCAGACTGCTGAACAACAACTCTGCTGAGTGATATGAGATGTTGATACATGTTACATAGGGAAAGAAAGGTCTCTAGTCAAAAAGTGGGCAATACTTATTTAAAATATATTCAACCATACTCTTCACTGTAACACTTTTCAGAACTTGTTAATGTGCTGTTGTGCATTATGAATCTCTCTGAGGAGGATAGAGAATCTGATCTTCCTCACTTCTTTGATTAAAAGTCCCCTCCCCTCTTTAAAAAAAAAAAACAAAACTCTTCAAAGAGAATGTCTTTGGGCAGAAAATAACTTTGGGAAAAGATATTCTAGACCAGTTTCTCAGTCTTAGCCCTATAGACATTTGAGATCAGACATAACGTTTGTTTGGGGAGCCCATCCTATGCCAGTAGAAGATGTTTACCAGTAAAGGACGTTTACCTCCCAAATAGTTGTGACAATCAAAAATGTCCTCTGGGGGCAAATAGAACAATTGGTTGCAGATTCATACTGCAGTATTCCAGGAAGTTATACAGTACATTAGCAATTTCTCTGTGAAACTTTCCTTTTAATGGGGAAGAAACAATAGGAAGTGGGAAGCACAGGTGGAGAAGGTTCATTACATTCTACTGTAATAAACATTCTGGATCCACTTTGTACCCTGGCTTGATTTAATTATTACATGGAGAATTTCCTGCAAAAAGTAATTTCAAACATTGAAGACTGTTACATGGTAGAGACAAAATTATTTTTTGCTAAAATAGTAGCCTAGATATTTCAGGTTATCTGCTTATGATGATATTGCACATTTCTGAAAACCACTTTTTCCTTTTTATTTATATAGGGCTATTTTCTTCTCTTTGAGTCTATGTTAGATTCTGTCCTTTATGCAAAGAACAAATACTTGGCAAAAGGAGGATCGGGTGAGTATAAAATTCACAGTAGTCTAATTTTAGTCTGGCAGAACCAAATGAACCTTTGGATTTCAAATAAACTATGCATGACTGAGAAAGTTCCCAATAGAGATGAAAGATATTTCCATTAGAGGAAACTTTAAGACATTTGTTTAGTGTACTGTTGATAGTAGAACATTATATTAATATAAGATATGCAGGACTCCCAAGTTAATGGTATTCTCGTGAACACGTGAGTGTTTTGATTTGTTTGTTTGTTTTTATGACATTTAGTTGTTGTTTTTCCCCAAAACAATGTTTCATACTAGATTGGAAATCATTCACTTTGGTAGCAAATTTTCCATGACTTCAGTAAATGTATAAACCTGTCTTCTCTGTGATTTAACAAGAACATTTAAATATTGGTTTCTGTTAAATTTATAAAGTACCGCATACCAGTCAGTATTTTTAAATAGATCCCAATAAATGTGGAAGGCTTCCTTTTCATATCCATGGTGAACTTTTAATCATACTGTCTGCATACTCAGTGAGATTGTGTTTCATAGACTTTCTGCTGTAAACGGTTGTATACACATAGAGTGTCCTCAGGATTATGTTTTGCTCATCTTTGGCTCTTTACTGAGCTCTACAGCTCCTGGAATATAGATAGAACATAATACATGTTTGTTGCATTGAATCATTAAAACTGAGTTGAATAGCATCTGTTGATAGCATAGTTGAAGGTCCCTGGACCTTCCCTTTCTCAAAGCTTTAGAATTAGTCATTTCTGTGGTCCGAGTATAGTTGATAAAACTGCTATATAAAAGTAGATGAAAAGGAGGATACATTTTGAACTGATATCATAAAGCACTTGAGCATACATATGCCTTCTGCCCATTCATGTTCTATGAAATTACTTGGCAGTAAAAATCAGTAAAAACCAAAACAGAAAGCGCACAGAAAATTCTCCAGTACAATTGAGTTCTTTTTATAATAGCATTTAAGTGGATTGCCTTTCTTTTGCAAAATGCTCTCAATTTATCACTGTATTTTCTGCGACCATTTCAAGATATGTTTCTGATCTGTGACATGAATGTGGCTAGAATGTTTTAGATATATTTACCCTGTAATAATTGGCTCTCAATAATTGGAGTGGGTTTTTTTTTATGACAACTATACTTAATGATTAAAAACTAATATCTACTATTTGTCTACTAGTTGCCAAATAATACAGTCTACCTTTATTTATTGTATTACATATAGTTGTCACAACAGCCCGTTGAGATTTTAGAATCATAGATGTCCTGGATGGTACATTTAAATATCCAAGCCTTGAACTTGTTTTTCTAAACACAGATCTGCCAGACTGTAGTATTCATGTTCTATGCACTGTTCCTTATTGTTTCTTTACTAAAATGCATTTTATTGAATCTCATTCTTGCCTTGAAGTTGTTTCAGGGAAGATTCAGAAAACTGTTTCCATACCTCCCTGAGTGGTGTTCATTGATCTTACTGAAGGACTGACAGCAGCTTAATACATTTAAATTGAATTCTCGATGAAATTCATTAAGAACTTACAGCCTTGTGAATAAAGAGGTTATAGCTGAAACAGTGGCAGAGCTGTTTTCCATCATCGGAGGAATAAAATAGAGACACATAAGTTTATCTCTTTCCATATTTTTATATAGCTGCTTTTAGCACTCAGATTTTCTAGGGATGTATTAAAGAGAGGTCAGCATTCAGCTACATCAGTGGTGCTATTGAATGTTACTTATCAACAGAATCAAATAAGTAGGAAAAGACAGAAATGAGTAACATGAAGTGATCTAGCCTATTTTGTGTATTTGAGCATGCTTTGATGAATATCATCAGTCATCTAGATGCTCATTCTTTTATTGCAAACAAAAGTTTTATGTTTTTCTTAATGAAAGATTTACTAAGCAATTAGTAGTGTAAAGATTTAAGAAAGAATAACTGAATTATGAGAAACAGACTATTGAAGACTATATAAGCATGAAGGGACCACACTTTATTTTTATAGGAATCTTGGTTCAGTTTATGTCTTACTTTATATATACTGGCATGGCCTTTATAAAACATAGTCAGCCAATAACTTAAGTATTCACTGTCCTAACCACCAAGTAATTCCACAGTACTTTAGAGGTGCTCATTTTCTGCTGTTATCACTAATAAAAGTAAAGTTTTGTGGGGATTCCCTGGCAGTCCAGTGGTTAGGACGCAGTGCATTCACTGCTATGTGCCTGTGTTCAGTCCGCGGTTGGGGAACTAAGATTCCACATGCCATGTGGTGAGGCCAAATAAAAAAATAAAAAATAAAATTTTAAGTTTTGTAGAGTTACTGAAAGTGGATTTACTACTTTCTGCTTATTATTAGTTTACCAGTTGTATATCAGAAATGTAGTGCTTTTACATTAAACTGACTTGCCTGGTGGCTCAGATGGTAAAGTGTCTGCCTACAATGTGGGAGACCTGGGTTCGATCCCTGGGTTGGGAAGATCCTCTGGAGAAGGAAATGGCAACCCATTCCAGTCCTCTTGCCTGGAAAATCCTATGGATGGAAGAACCCAGTAAGCTACAGTCCATGGGATTGCAAAGAGTCAGACACAACTGAGCGACTTCACTTCACTTACATCAAACCAACCAAAAAATCAGGAGGAAAACCAGGAAAATGTTAGATCATGACCAGTGCATATTTTTACAAGGAATTAAGTTGAAAACCAGTGTATATTTTAGGATTGAAGCATAGATATAAATGTTTTATACATTAAAAATGTCAAAATACCTACACGGGTTTATCTTTAATAGGAATTTATGGAATTCATTTTTTCATAATTTGAGGGTTGGCTGTTTATGTCGCTTAAAATTGACAACTCAAATAATAGCATTATAAGTACATTTAGCACTACCAAGGTAATATTAAAATGATACTATTGATTAAAATTGAATGGTGAGGCTTGTGGTCATCAATCCTGTCTGTGTCTCAATTGTGGTGGTGATTGTATAACTGGTGTATTTATCAAATCACATAGGATTACACACCAAAAAGGGCAGAGAGAGTGGGTTTTACTGCATGTAAACTTCATCTCAGTAGAAATGACTTTAAAAAAAAGCAGTATTACCTCCGTCAGGTCAAATGAATCATGATATAATATGATTTCTAGCTATTTTGAAAAATAAAGCTGTGTACTAACTTTATGGCCCCACTTCTATAATTTTTGTTAGTATTATCAATATATCTCTCTATAACAAAAAAATAATTGGGTGATTACGAAGAGGAAAGGAAAGGGGAAGAACAAGTAAATACACTAACTTTATCATTACTCGTGATAGGAGATTAGTAAATACTATTAAAAAGACAAACAGAAGATATTCTGTAAGGTTGTAATTATAAAGTTAGCTATTAGAACAAAAAAGGCAGACTTAGTAAAAAAAAGAATTAATACTTAAGAAAAAAGGAAAACGATCGTGCAGTTGAACTACTTGAAAAACAAAATAAAATGAAAACTACAGATACAGAGTAACAAAATGATAGGAATAAGAAAAATTTTATATCAATAATTAAATGGACTAATTTATAAATGAGAAAGAATTAGGTTGTAACACAAGAGAGAACCTGATTGTATGGTACACCTAAGACAAAATTACATAGAAAAGTCAGGACAAAAAAAAGATACTCAAGAAAATAAAAAACAGTTATGATATTGATACCTAACAAAAGGGAATTTGGGCAAAATATATAATTAATCATAAAAATAGAACTTAGCACTAAGGAGCAAAATCATGCCCATCTTCATAGCTATTGAAAATGTTGATGTATATAAAATACATGAACAATCTGAAAGTTTGGTTAAGAATGGCATACTTAAGTTGTTTGTTTCTGAGAATCTCCCCATGAAATATCTTCTCATTATAAAAGGGAAAAGAGTAAATTTCTCTGTAGAAGCCTAGCAGACTCTACTTCTAGTCATAATCAGAGTTGGCATCCTTCAGAATTGGACCAATTGATACTGTTGGAGAACTAAGAAATAATTTGTTGCTTTGAAACTTCCTCAGAACTGATAACATAGTCCTGTTTTTAGAATTTATTTAAGGTGTACACAGTAGTGGTGGTTCAGTGGTAAATAATCCACCTGCCCAGCAGGAGACTCAGATTGGATCCCAGGGTCGGAAAGATCCCCTGGAGAAGGAAGTGGCAGCCCACTCCAGTGTTCTTGCCTGGGTAATCCCATGGACAGAGGAGCCTGGAGGGCTGCTGTGCGTGGGATCACAGAGTCTGACATGACTTAGCTAGTAAACAGCAACAGTACACAGTAGTAGGTATTGCTGCCTCTGAAAAGTAGACAGAAATTTAGGTGTGTATCATTAGTAGAGCCTCGGTCATGGACTCATGCCTAACTTGCACGGGAGGGAAAGAAAGTTTTTCTCAGCTTCTGTAGAAGAAAGCAGATCGCCTCATAACAGGAAATCTCACGGACAGTTCAGAAGAGGGCAGCAAAACAGAGTGGCAGATACATACATTGGAATCCTGGTCTTTGCTAATAAGAAACTGCCTCTGTTATGAAGTCCAGGCTTACAGATGCCTTTCCCTTGTGTGGAAAGCTGAACTCTAGAGTGTGCTGACCTCTCCCTCATTTCTGCTTGGTTGCTTTGCTTTCTAGTGTCTCTCTCTGCTTTATCACCTCATTCCTTTACTCAGATGGAATGGGTAAGGCAGGACGTTCCCATTTTCCTCACTTAGCCCTGAAGTTTTATTAATCTCTAATCTTTCTCAACGCTTTTCTTTTTCCTCATTCTTTTCCAACAGGTGCTCATTAGGGCAGTTGAGTTCCTCTTTCCTTTTTCTCTGTTTGAAAAGCACAAAACGTGGCATCATAAATAATGGAAAGCACAAAATTTTGCAGTCAGACCTCGAATTAAATCCCTGCTTCATCAGATGACTAGTTACCTAGTTAGCTGATTAAGAACAGTAATTTGGGCAAGTTACTTTATTCCTCTGAACTTAGTTTCCT